CCCTACACTTAGGCCATCAAAAAAGGGGGGTTCCTCTTATATTTGCATAATTTATGTCCCATAATATTTTTTTGTGTACATATAACATTTTTTAAAAGGGGGCCAACTTCCTTTCAAGTTAACGTGGTATTCTGGATTGCAGTATTTTAAGGGACCTGTGTGTTCCAGCTGGTGTCAGACAGACATCTGGCTGGCTATTGATTGCCTTGTTTTTAGTTGAGTTTTTTTCTTGCAGTTCTTGTTCCCATCATCCCAAGTGAGAAACCTGACAGTAACCATGCTATGTGCCCAGTGAAGTCAGCAAAACTTTTTACACAGGATGCTTCTGAAGAGGCCTTAAATTCACAGCTCGGGGGATCTTCCCAACCTTCTTGTTTAACCTCCATTCTTAAAAAACGCATTCTTGAGAACTCAAAAGCTTAACACAACTGTGTTGGTGTTATTTGGTTGGCCTTAATGACGGAGGTGAGGTGGATTTTAACTGTATTACTGTTATCTGCTGGTATATACTGTGAGCCTTTTTGGGGGGGGGGTGAAGCTGCCATGGCCAGGGGGTCCATCCCACCCAAGAGGCGGAGCCATCTTCTTCCCACGGTGCCAAAGATGAGTCAACATGCCAGAAATGTAACAGCTGCTTTAATTACTTGACTGCTTTACAATGCCAGGAGCTGCGGTGGCTCAAGTGGTTAAGACGCTGAACTGCAGGCTGTGGAAGGTCGGTAGTTCAGCAGTTCGAGACCCGAGTGTGCCACATGATGGAGTGAGCGCCCGTCTCTAGTTCCAGCTCCTGCCAACCTAGCAGTTCGAAAGCAAGAAATTGCAAGTAGATAAATAGGCACCACTTCGGTGGGAAGATAACAGCGTTCCGTGCGCCTTGGGGTTTAGTCATGCCGGCCACATGACCACGGAAACGTCTTCGGACAGCGCCGGCTCTTCGGCTTTGAAACGGAGATGAGCACCGCAACCCTAGAGTCGGACTCGACTGGCTTTCAAGCGAGGGATCCTTTACCTTTACCCTTTACAATGCCAGTTCCAGATGTTAACCACTACCCCACTGCCTGGCCAGTTCACCTGCCATCACCTCTACCTACTCACACTTAGGTGTTAGGGCTGCTTTTCCAGCCCAAGTCCTTCTCCCAGCTCTTGTCCTGGCCACTGCAGCCTTCCTACAGGGTTAGGCCAGGGGCAGGCCATTCTGCCAGGGTTCGGTGGGAAGAGTTCCCTTTTGGCTTCCCTCTGGCCCAAAAATGTCGCCTTCCAAATCTCCAGGAGGCTCTGCCCTTTCTAGACTGCAAAGCCCTCAAGCCTGGCTCACCAGCACTCCTCCCCAGCTGCCAGCCAGATCCTTCCTCTGCCTTAGGGTTGCCAGTTCAGGGCTGCTAAATACCAGCAGGTTTTGGGGGTGGAGCCTAAGGAGGGTGGGGTTTGGGGAGGGGAGGGACTTCATGGCATAGAGTCCGCCTTCCAAAGCGGCCATTTTCTCTAGGTGAACTGATCTCTGACACCGGGAGATCAGTTGTAATAGCGGGAGATCTCCAGCCACCACCTGGAAGTTGGCAACCCTACTCGACCTTCTTCAGCTTGGGGCGTTTATCCCTCTTCCTTTGGTCGCTGCTTCCTGTTCCCACTCCTGAGCAGGCCCTTTCTCTTGAGGAGGCTTTTACCCCAGAGAAGGCCTTTGCTCCACAGGGACCTAGCTGGCCTTCCTCCTGGCTGCTCCTCCCTGGCCCTTGTAGGCCCAAAAGGCGCTTCCCTCAGCTCTGTGCTGCGGCCTTCCTTGGAGCTCTGCCCCTGGCTCCATACCTTCTGCCTCAGCGGTAGGGTGCCCAGGGCTGGGACAGATGAAAAAGGAAGGATACCAACAGCTTAAATAAGTAGATTGTTCAGAGTTGCCAAGTAAGTTTTCATGAAGTCACAGGAATAGAGATTGGGCCATAAACACACACTTTTGTTTTTTAACTCTGCCAAAGTGGGGGGAAGTCTGTGGCCTGCACTGAAAGGACCTGGTATAAAAAAGGACTCTGACACACTTATTGCAGTCCCTTCCTTTCCCTTGCCAACATTCACAGGCATCTACTTAATAAAAAATGGGGGTGGGGGGGAGGAAACATATGAACTGGATATGAGGAAGAGAGTGGTCAAAGAGAAAACTGTAGGCTTGATTTAAACAAGAACTCATGGCTTCTTTGAGAGCGAAAGAAACGTTCAATTGCAACTTGGTTTTAACAAAAGGAGCAGGAGAATAACCTCCGCCACTTCTCATGCCAGTTCAGTCCAATCCGCCTTCCGGCAAACTGTCACCAATGCAAAAGAAAAGATCTGCATATAGATCAGGCTTCTTGGGCTGAGGGTTAATCCTGCAGAAAATGCTACTCGGCTGAAGTACCTTTTTCAAAACCACATCATAGTTCCTACAAACCCCTCCCATATACCTCTCCTCAAGTCTATTCTGTATTACAAAAAGCAGCTTTTAAAAGGCAACCGCCAAGTGCACGGAAAATTCAAAATAGTCGCCTGGGATACTCTCAAAGCCAAGCTTCAGAGATTATTGCCACACAGGGAGCAAGCAGGCAGGGCAGAGCGGAATGCGCAAAGCTTTCACAACCAGGAGTTTAGGAATTATGTTGAGTGCTAAAACCCAAGCCAGTCCTATCGACTTTTTTCTTTTCTTTTCGGTCACTGTTCATTCAACCCAGTGGTCTCAAACAGCTGCTGAGAGTTTTTGTTTAAGCAACTAACGGACAGCTACCAACATAATGGAATCTCCCCAACAAAATATGATAGGGTTATGTAGGGCCTTTTCTTTGGAAAAAGAGGTGCCGGACCCCTCAAGAGGGAAACGAAGTTTTCAATCTGTGTACTGAAAACTCATGAACTTTTAAAAAGAGGCTCTGGAACTCCATTCCGGCAAGTTCCCCCAGAAAAAAAAGCCCTAGGGTTATGCAGTTGTTTTGGACTGTTTCTGTATTTCTACAACAGCAGCCAAAAATCCAGCGACCCTGTACGTAACCCAGCCATCTACATTGCTCAGTAGCCTAGAAGTTTCTGCAGTTGGAGAAGCAGAGCCCTTACTAAGTAGGGGGGGAACCAGCTCCTGTCTAAGTTTTAAAAATTCAGGGCAGCTTAGAAATACAGAGTCAAGCCCTGACCTGGATAGCCCAGGGAAGCCCAATCTCGTCAGATCTCGGAAGCTGACTTCCTTGGAATACCATGTCGGAGCTAAGCAGGGTCGACTGTGGTTAGTACTCAGATGGGAGACTTCCTTGGAATGCCATGTCGGGAGGACAGGCACAGGCTTTATTCAGCCACCTCTGAAAATCCTCCAGGGCCACCAGTAGGGGTCAGTCACCAGAGGTCAATGTGACTTCCAGGTGCAGACACACACAAAAAAATACCCCCCAAAATTAATATACCGAAAGTATTCACTGAATTTACTCCAGTATTTAGACAAAGTTGTTTTATGTACAGTGGAATGAATATAAGCACTAATCACTCTTAATGAGAGATGTTGAAAATTCAAGTACAAGGCTATTGCCTAGGGTGGATAATTAGGTAACACTGTCAATTCTACAACTAGTTTTGTTGAAATAAGACAAGCAGTGCTGACCAAACAGCATCCCCTCTTCTTGTTCTTTACAGCCTTGAGAGAATAGGTGGAATAGCCTGAAAGATATATTTTTTTCCCATTGACCAAGTCTCCTGTAGTAAGATTATATCACAGCGTTTCATGAGTTCCCCTGTTCCCTTCATACTCTCTATCCACTTTTTAAATACTTTCAACAGGAACATCCTGGGGAGGGGGGGGAGAGAAAGCTTATAAGCAACGTAAGACAAGACAGATTCTCTCTCTTGCACAGAGGCGGTTTTCCACACAGGGAGGGGCTTCTGGGGCTTCCTCGTTGCTGGTGTGGCTGCAGGGTGCTTCAACCTGCCAAGTTACCCTGTGAGTTCCCTACCGTGGTCCCCCAGCAGTAGCCAACCCCCTCTCTCAGGCCACCAAAGCTTTTGTAATTTAAAAAAAATATGAAATCAGCACTAGAATATTGTTATATCGATATACCATTGTAACTATAGGTGTTGCAGGTTCTCTGAATCCTATCATTTCCTATTTAAACAAGGTAAGTCTCTAGCTTTGTATTGAAAAGTTATGCCTTTTCCCTTATATCTCCTCAAGGGAATGGGCAAGAGATGTACTTTTTAGACATGAAAGCTGAGAATTCAAGAGATGGTAGAAAACACACACGTGAAACTCTTGTCTGCCGCTTCGAATCAGTCCTGGCTGTGGTTAAACAATGAACACGTCGCCTCAGTGACATGTTTCAGCCATTGTCTTGGGTGCCAGTTTAGTTCTCCCTGTGAACTGACATTCTTCCCACAGGGTGTAAATAAAGCTAGGGAAAATCTGCGCACCCCCCCCCAACATCTGGCCCTTTCAGATGACAGCCATTGTGATGTACTGCAGTGATTTTCAGCCGTTCCACACTGGGAGACCCTTCAACCCCTAGGCAGCAGGCAAAGATCTACTGAACTTCGTGTGTGTGTCAGGAAGAAGGAACATCTGAGACTTCACTAGGAAACAAATGTTCCCGCTTGGCGCCTGTGGAAATCGCCTGGATGGGGAAATGGCTGGCAAATTCCCACATCCCTCCCTCCTTCGGCTCTTGTATTTCCTCCTTCAAAATGCTTCCTCCTAAAGAATCCCATGTGCACCTCTGACATCATTAAGCAAACAGTAACAGGACAAAAAAAAAACAAGAGAACTGTACTCACAGCTAGAAGATGACACATGGCTGTACTCTGACCTGCAATACAAAAGTGGCAGGTCAGCAGAGCTATTCTTCAAAAAAATGACTGGTGAGGATTAGGAAAGGTAGAGGTAGTTACAACACTGCCAACACCACCTTCTGAGATCCACAGGTAGTTCAGTTACCTGTTATCAGCATGTCATATTCAGGATAAGAAACCCAGGCTTAGTGTTCTACCTTTCCACCCAATTCTGTCCAGCCTTTGATGAAGGGCCTCAGCTGGCAAACTGGACAAAGGTAGAGGAGGGGAACTGAGGAAGGTCTTGCTGGCAGCTGAGGCCGAAGACTTTCCTCTTCCCTTTCTGCAGGCATTTAACCTGGGCAGGGCCAAAGGCACAAACTCCTGACTCTCGGTTTGGGGCTCATAGCCTGGGACCAGTGATAATGGGCTTGCCAGACCCAGCACAGCCAAGATTTGTTTTGGCTTGTGTCTTAGCTTTTGTGATTTGGACTTTTTTCTTTCTGTAAGCTGCTCTGGGTCTCTCCAGTAAGAAAAGTGGCCTAAAACAATGCTTAAATCGATCAATCAATCTCTTGCTGAAGAAGGCTGAGTGCACATGAAGGCTCATACCTCAAATTAAACTTTGTTAATCTTAAAGGTGCCACTGGACTCAAACATTGTTCTTATGCCTCATGCTGTCCTTGCTGCATTTTGGTCTTCCTTCCTTCCTTCCTTCCTTCCTTCCTTCCTTCCTTCCTTCCTTCCTTCCTTCCTTCCTTCCTTATCAGGAAGCTGGAAGGTTTAGCCTTGTCTTTGCAAAGAAGGCAGGCTGCCTTATTCTGGGGAGGGGGATAAAGACTGGCCTCTTAGGGCTGATCCCCCAGGGGCAAGGCAGCTTTCCCCCACCTTACAGACTTTGCCAGTCTCTTCCAAGGCACCAGGATTGTAAGGGGAGGACAATGAACAACACTGGCACTTCTGTCTACCGCAGGCTTTCTACCAGAAGTTGCAAGCCAGAAACCTGCCAGCCCCCACCATCAGGCTAAGGCCGAATCATGAGAAGGGCTCAGGCAAGGAGGCCCCCTGCTTGTGCAGAACAAGAGCCTTCCCCAAGCCAGCCATGATGGTGGAAAGCACCATGCACAGAAATGCCAGTCAAAGATGATGATCTGCAAGGTGTTAAATCCTGGGTTCCATGGATGGTTTGACCCCCAAGCATGGCTTATCAGCTCTGCTTTATTAGTGATTCAGCAAGAACAAGACAAGACAAAAGACAAACTGCTAGGGCAATGGCCCTGTTAAATAGCACGCAACTCCACCCAGTTCCCAAACAACTACCAAGGATAGGCCATTAACAGAACCATTAATTCCCCATTGGCCACCTCCAGAGTCCTGGTGGGCTATTGTTCTAGAGCTTCAAGCTCAGCCAGTCTCTGGTAGACACAGTCCTGGAATGTTCCAGTCCCAATACATAACAGCCAACCTGGGTTAAATGTTCTGTGTGCTTGGTCTACTGTAGTCACTTTCTCCCCGCTGACTCTCTTCTCCGTGTCACTGGCATGGGAAAATGGGAATGTAAAGAAAAAGCCAGGAACATGGAAACTGAAAGCAGAGAGAGAGAGAGAGAGGGAGAGAGAGAGAGAGAGAGAGAGAGAGAGAGAGAGAGAGAGAGAGAGAGGCGATACACA